ATTTGTACTGGTCTACGCAAAGAGAAGCTGTCGAGCGTGGCTGCTACTGGCTGGAGCACTTGCAGTTTATGCTGTGTTGGGAGTGACTATTGCTGAATGCGACAAAGTATGTTGTCCGCGACTCACAGGAAAGCTTTCATGACGTTTCTTGCAGTCGTTGCGATGTTTATGATCTTGGACGTTGATTGATATACTTCAGACCACCGACCCCCCTACCTTCTGAAAAATCGCACCGGTCCTGCAGGCGGGCAAAAGAACTGTGGGAGTTGGATTGCCGATCCAATGGCTCAACTGAAATGGGATGGGCCTTGTGGTAACCGAGCCAGTTGTAAAAGGCAGTGGTGGTTTAAGCCTTAGGATTCCTTGTGCATGTTGTCGATAAAAACAGCCTTGTTCATGTCTGGGAGGAGGAGAAGCAGGAGGAGTGGTGTTGAGTTCAGGCTGTGTTCATTTCTCTAGAAGCTGTTAACTGCAGTTGTCTACTCGTATTTCCTCCGTTCTCTACTTTTTGTCTCGTCTACTTTGCGCGATTATTTGCTGCTGAACCGTTGCTGATTCATTTTTAGGCATGCATGGATTTGTGCTTTCGTTGTTGGAACTGAGTGAAGGATCGTAGCACTGTGGTGGTACATACACAGTATTGTCTCGATCAGTCATGACACTGAAGAGTCATCTTGATCGGTCTGGGCTGCTAGGGTTGATGCTGGAGCTTCGCACACCCCTATTTCCATTCGGCAAGTTTTAGTTACCAGATCGTTTGACCGCGAGATTTCTATCTAGTCGTTCCCCCACCCCTGCCGTCCAGTGCCCGTCAGAAAAGTGTGCCCTCTCTCTGCCTACGTTGACTGCTTTTGTCGCTCTGACTGTGCCCCTATCCCCTGTCAGCTTTGCGCCTCCCACTTCCTATGCAAGACAGACTATACTGCTCACGATCATCTATTTTCTGTCTCATCTTCTGCCCCAACCAGTTGTTTTATTCGTTCGGTATGTCACCATCCATATTTATTTCTGCTGTGTGTGTTCTCGATATGCTGTTCAGGTGGTGGAGATGTTAGCAAAGGGCCAGAAGCCGCCAGGCATAAAGGTGATCGATCTCCCCATTTCCTTCTCTTCTCCCTGCGAATATTTCCAACCCCACGTCATTAGTGCGGCACAGAGTAACAACACCTCTTTGTGCCCCTCTCTCTCTCTCACTGAATCCCAGTGCAGCCTAGCTCAGCCCAGCCCAGCCCTGCCCAGCCCAGCTATTGCATGTTTTCTGATTGTCGACTTTCTTTTCCTCCGGTCATTGGGACGGGCGAGTGAGGGACTCTATGCTCATTCCAGTTCCAGTTATTTGAAGTGTCAATGGAGCACAATCCCCTCAACCTACCTTCTTCCCCCAAACACAATGCCCCATCATTGTGACTGCCCCTCCTCCCCCCGGCGCCCCCCCCCCCTCCCCCCCCCCAAAATCCCATGGAATAATTGCTAACTTCATTTGCTGAACTTCTGGGGTAGCATTCCAAGGGCACAACAAGGGGCCATTCATGTGGTTTTGTGGGATGGAGAGGGAGGGAAGGATGAGCAGATGGGAGAAGCCGGTGAGGCGCTCGTGCAGTCTTGCAGCAGCACAATGTGCTTGTCAGAAAATTGACAAGCACTGTAAATGCATTGCTCTCCGCAATGGCCTGCCTGGGTCGAGCTGGCATTTGGGGGGGGTGGGTGGGTGGCAGAGAGGAGGGGGAGGGAGGGGGGGTGCAGAGAGAGCAAGGGGGGGGTGCAGGGCACTCAAGTTGCAGCAGCTGGAGGAGGCAGCCTAGGGTGGCAATGAAAGAAAACTGTGACTGTGGACCTCCTCTGTGAGATTGCAATCTTTTTTTTTTTTTTTTCAATTCTTTGTCCAGTTTTTTGAACTTTTTTCAACTTTTTGTTGTTTTGATTCTGTTTTACGTTTTGATTGCAATCTTGATGGCAAGAGCTCGTTGTGAAAAAAAAAGGATGTGTGCCTCCTGCTACTGACACCCGACTCTCAGAAACTCCAGATTTGGTTGGGTAAACAAGAGCTTCACCAAAGCCCTGCATGTGTGGCTGAAATGGCACATACACACATGTAACTGGTAGTAAATAGGGTATGAGTTTGATTCCTTATGCAATGATGAATACAATAAAGGTAGGGGGCTACCCCGGGGGTACCCCCTCCAGAGTGCAAGGAAAATAAGCAACAGCGAGATGACAATTCCAGTTCACACCATCATATTGAAAGCCAAATAGTCACACTGTGTCCAGAGAGCAGCATTCCAATGGAGGTTCGTAGCACTGAAAACCAATGTTCATGGAGAGCATACTCTCTCCTCCCAACACAAGAGTCCAGTTCCTTCACACTCACACTTGGCGCTCAGCGCCCAGCCTACTCCTACACAGCTACTACAGACTACAAAAAGACAATGCAACTGTTGACATCAGCGGCAGCCCGAAGTACTTGAAGATGTCGCCCATGCAGACCATCGCCAATACAAGGTACGTGCCCTCACATCATCATCATCATCATCATCCTTCACCTATCCCCTGACTACACCACACCCGTCCTCTCTTTGACCCGAAGAGCACCCCTGCGCTTCACTGTAGTCCAAGCCCACCAGCTATGGTGGCTGGGCTATGGCGCTGCCCTCAGCAGCGCCCTCCTCCTCTGCACGACCGCACATGCTGCACCTCGCCTCTCAGCGCTAGCAGCAGCCTACGAGCATAAGCTCCAGCAGCGCTGCCGCCCAGCATGCGAGTGCCTGAATGAGGCAGCCAGGGCCGACCTCTTTCCTTTATGGAAAGAGTTGGCCTGCTCACGCAGCCTGGCTGCCCTGGCCTGGGCCCAGAAGCTTCCGGAAGGCCCCAGGAGGCTGCCTGGATGCAGCAGCTACTGGGCTGCTGGGCCTCGTTCGGTTGGGCGCCCAACTGTCTCTGTATGAGGCTGCGAATCACGCCCAGGGCCTGCATTCGGTAGGCCGTGGAAATGTCTTTGTTGCTCGGCCTGTGTTTCTTTCAACCAACTGGCGCGTTGCAACTGCCTGGACCCCAAATATGAAATTGACAGTCGAGGGCCTCTTGCAAAAAGCCAGGCCCGCCTTCACTTAGGGCGGGCACCTCCGCCTTCACTTAGGGCGGGTAGGGCTGGAAACAGGGCCCCATAGGCCTACCGAGGACCCTGATCCTCGCAAGAGGTAAGAAAGGCAAAAAACAGGTTACTTTCAACAAAATAGGTCTGGGGACAGTAGTGGTGTAAAAGTAGAGTATCGAAAGTTACAGAGCTAAATGTTTTCTACTGTGTAATTTCATAGACTTTATTTTATGAAAAAATTAAGAAACGAATCCAAGAAAGATTTTACTACTGTGCACCACATGGTGTGTGGACACCACAAAACCTAAACAAAATTTTAACAAAACAAAAAATTAAAAATTGCGAAAAATAAGTTGCATGTTGTCATTGTTGTGTAAGAACTTGCTAAAAAGCTAGGTTACCAGTGTGGACGTCTGGCCCCCCCCATAGATGTCCAGGTTGTCCTATCGAACAACTGGGCCAAACGTCAGCGTGGGCCCATGTGTCCAACCTATTAGGAATTTGCAAAACTTCCAACTTCTTTCCATGCAAAGCACTCGAACAAACTGAAGTGCAAGTGGAGAGAAGCTTTTCAACAACCTCATATTGCTCAATCACACCAGCACACTTTATGAAAATGAAAAAAGGTGATGTCCACTTGAGGGCCAGGCTGCACTGAGCAGTCTGCAACAAACGACACTAGAACCAGAACACACTGGCTATAACTGCACCCAAACCCTCTCCTTCAGCTGCCAAAATTGGCGCTGCTGCTCGTTCTCTTCACTCCACCAAAATCACGAGCTGAAAAATGAATGAACTGTAGTCCTAGCTCGTCACTTTTTGCTATGCCAATTTTGGCTGGGCCTACAGGGTCCTACCGGGCTCTGGCCAAGAGAATTTTAGAGGACTAGGTCCTATAGGGTCCTGTGTGCCGAAGATCAGCTAACAGTATTGCAAGGAAAATGAGAGATAACGATACGACAGAAATCCAGAATGCAAAATCACATTGAAATCCAGCAAGTCCAACGCTGTCCAGAACGCAGAAATGCGCAGATATTCCACCAACGGAGAACCAAAGCACTGAATCCGAATGTCAATGAGAGCATACTCTCTCCGCCACCAACATATGTATCCAGAGTCCTTCCTCCTACTTGGCCCTCAGCGTGCAGACTACTATCACACAGCCTACTACCGGTAGCAGCGTACGAATTGACAATGCATCCAGTTGACCTCAGCAGCAGAACCGAAGTACATGAAGATGTCGACCCTTGTAGACCATCGCCAAGACCAGGTACGTGCCCTCACATCATCAACCTCATCTCTCTCTCTCTCTCTCTCTCTCTCTCTCTCTCTCTCTNCTCTCTCTCTCTCTCTCTCTCTCTCTCTCTCTCTCTCTCTCTCTCTCTCTCTCTCTCTCTCTCTCTCTCTCTCTCTCTCTCTCTCTCCCACCCTCGACTTTCTCACCCACATCTTCACCCTCAAACACGAAGACCACGACCATGTCCACTGGCTATATCCAAGCCATGCCCGGCTATGGGAGCTGGCTATGGTGCTGCCCCCAGCAGTGCACTGCACCCTGCATGCCCGCGCGTGCTCGCAGCACCAGCGCTAGCGCAGCAAGCAGCACGCGAGCGATCGCTCCAGCAGCGCTGCCGCCCGCAATTGCAAGTGCCCCAATGTCCACCCGGGAGCCCAGTCCTGTCCTATATAAGTGGTGGGCTCTTTCCGCTTGCTTCCCACGTGAGACCGAATTTACAGTAGCTTCAGTCTCGGCCAAAGTGTCTGCGCCCAGGCTCATTCAGACAGTGGCCTGGGACCGAATTGGTTTGGCATGCCCAACCGCCCAGGCACAAACGTGCAGCGCTCCCTGCTTCGACCACGTTGCTGGAAGAGCCTGGAAGGCTCACGAGTATTTTGGATTCTCTCGAGCAAGGTGGATGTAACCAACTGGCGCGTGGCAACTGTGTGGCGCCCACCAAGATTTGCAAAAATTGACGAACTCAGGGCACATCGGGGTTCAGGGGGCCCGCCTTCAATTAGGGCGAGCACGCGCCTGCTGCAAGGCCTTAGCCGAGGGGTAAACCCTCGCACTCCCTCCTCCTTTACTTCAATAGTCCTCTGAGAAGTCGTTATACAGCAGGCTGCTTTCCTTTCAAATTTCGTTCATAACTTGAGATAATTTGCGGAGAAGTCTTCATTAACTCCTCTCTTGTGAACCACCGATCATCTTTAGGATCAGTATGATGTCGGAAGCGCACTCGATACTGCATCTGCGGTTTCAGAGGGCATCCCCTGCCTGGAGGCTTGGGCGCAGGCATCAGCTTGTGCTCGACGATATCGTCAATGTCCACATGTTCGTCCATGGTTGAAGGCAGCATCGATCTTCTTGAGGGAAACTGTTCAGTTTGAGCAAAGGGTGCCAACTTAGATGCATGGAAAACGGGGTGTGTTTGGAGGTGACCAGGAATGCGTATAACATATGATGGACCATCGGGTTGATAGGACCCTTAGCGGGATCTCCGTGCTGGGGTGGGGTGAAGTGCTTAGGTTTGAGTTCTGGGGCTTCACTTTCACCCCAGCCCACTTAGCCTTATGGTTAGGTGTTAGCCTGTTGAGCCGTTGGACGTGTGTTCGACTCTCGTATTCGTCATATGCTTTCGTGCAGTAACCACCGTAGAGATCGTACTACGGAAGAGTGGCTGGGGGGGTGAGTGTGGTTGGGTACACCGAGTCGCGGGATCTTCGTCGTCGGATCTCCGTGCTGGGGTGGGGTGAAGTGCTTAGGTTTGAGTCCTGGGGCTTCACTTTCACCCCAGCCCACTTAGCCTTATGGTTAGGTGTTAGC